ATGAATATATCTTATAGGTTATCAGTTCTATTCTTCTTTTTTATACTGAGGGTTTAATTTTAGCAGAAATATTCAAAGCTCTTACAACTAGGTTGGTATTGAGAGTAGGCCGCACAACGAACTTATCGATCTTCGAAAATAACTTGATACAGAGTTGTAAGCTATCACTTTAAATTCCAATAACTTTAATCTTTAATTAAGAGAATCAACTGCATACAATGTTAGTACTTAAGAGACGGTCCGTGATCTTATTTCTTTTCTTCACAGAATATGTGAAAACATCTTTCTGAATAATACCAATTTTTTTTCTGAAATTTCTAATCAAATTTTTTTAGATACGTCTCGAATCGTCAAAAACATTGCCGACTTTATTTGATAACACTCCCGAAAAAATCCAAATTTGTTTATTAATATTATTATGCGGGAAAAATATTGAAGAAGGCTTTGGTTTAGTTTATAGGTAAGTAAATCATTTGTCTTCTAATCTTTCGATTTTTTAATTTAATGCAAACTTAATCTTTGGATTAATTAATTTTTAGAATAATCCAAGATTACAAATTGACATCTTTGAAAATATTTGCAAGTGCAGCGAAATATTTAGCACGTAATCAACGTCTCGCTGAAGTCGATAACCTATTAAGTTGTATTAGTAGCAATAATGGTGTCAGTAGTCAGGATATCGATGAAATATTAATTGTAGCGATTAATTCGGCGACAAATACCCATGAATCCGATGTTAAAATGATGCTGGATAATTTAACTAAACGCGTACATAGCATCGAATTGCGCATATCCTCGCATATATTCATTGGTCAATTGAAATCCGCTTACTTGTTAGCCAATAAATATGAACGTCTAGGGGATATAAGAAAAATTTTGCGTCAAGCCGAGGCCACTAATCAAATTCATATAAAAAAATTGTGTGAAAAGAAATTGCAAATGTCGTGTGCACAGCAACAACAACAACAACAGCAGCAGCAAACTTGATAAGGGCTGTTATGCACATACGAGTTGAAAAAGGATTACGTTGAACAATCTGTATGATTGTATTTTATGGAATTTTTTTTTTTTTCCAATTTCTTGCAATTCTGTTATACATATATGATAAAATGATAAAAAAAAAATTATTTCAATTTTTATCAACATATACATATATATATATATATCTTATTAAAATATTTTATATTTAAAAATTTTGTATTTTATAATGTAATTATGTAATTATTGCAGTAAAGAAATCTACATTTGTTTTCGTTCTACAAAGACCGGATAATTTTCAATTAATTGTTTTGATCTATCAATGGAATTATTTCTATGATCGCATTGCAATAGTCCTTAATCATATTAGTATTAAATGAAATCGATCTATTTTTGAATGTTATCGGGAAACGTTAAAGAAATCTAACAGATCGATTAGTCCGATTGTCGTCCTCTGTTTCGCAACAGGAAAAAATTAAAAAATAGGGAAATTATATTCGATCGTGACCGAATCTTTTTTTACCCGTTAGCGACTAAAAAAAAAATTAAAAGAATTACGTTTTTATGCTCGATAAAATTTGGTTGAGATTAGTTAACTTTTTCATTTTCAGATTAAAAGTGGAAACTTATATGGTGTGCATTTTATGAGTAATAAGCAAGGTTCACAGTATTTGTTGCATAAGCGTGTGGAACTTGTAGCCGTGTCCTATAACTGGATTTGGAAATCTCTCAACGATATTTTCATTCTTGCGAACGAGGGAATGTTTGCCTTAAATGCCACATAGTTGGGAAAACGGACAACCGGACAGATGGACATTTTTAAGTGCATTCCGAATTTCAAACTGATCAAGATTTTATATGGTTTCTAGGATTTTTGAATCGTGATCTTACGCATAATATTATGTAAGCCCGATCAATTTGCCCCATTTGCCCCCAACCAATTTTTTCCCCTTTTGGAAAACAGAAATTTTCTTAGTTTACATGGTGCTGTGAGCTTGTACTTCGTATGATTTGGCCCATTTTCAATACCAACCTGCGTGCAAGAATTTCCAATGTTTCTACCAAACCTGAAGTTGATGGCTTCATTTTTCCGGCAAGGAAACTGTTTGCAACAGACATTACACAGACAGACAGCCGGATAGAAGGACAAACGGACAGACTGAAATGCTTAAATCGATTTTGAATTTGATGCTGGTCAAGAATATATATACTTTGTGATGGCTATAAAAATGCAGTAACATATGCAAGCCTTCCACTGAGTTGCATCTGGGCAAGAAATACAGTTCATAAAACTATAGAATATACTATTCTATAGAATGGGCTATAAAGTAGGCACACGAGTATATATAGCTAATTTAATTTTAAAAAATTACAACAAAAACAAACTAATTATTTACATAACACTCCTTTTATATCTCCTTTCATCCATTTTTTTATTTAATATTTTTTGTTTTATTAATTTAAATTACAACAGAAAAGTATATTTAGCAGTCAATGACAGTAAAATTTTCGTAAAATGCAATATTTATCAACGATAGACATTTTGATTTGACCGTCGGGAATGCATTCGTCGATTGCAGGTTCCTTTCAGACATAGGTTTCGCAAACCCATACTCGGCTGTTCAGCATCGCCCTCAGGCGATGATCACTTACTATCTGTGAGCCTCCAAACTATAGCTCACATCGTTTCCACAAACCACATATCGCCACATTGTCGCTCTTCTAAGTTCCATCACGCACGTTCCCTTTGAAATTTATGTCAAAGGTTTATAAAACAGAATTTCGCTACAAATGTTGAAAAATTCATAGCAATATTTATATGTAGCCAGTTAGGCGTTATTGGGACATAAGCAGCACACTTGTCCCTCGAAACTGCACTGAAAACTTTTCCAATTTCTCCAATAACCTTTGGACTTGGAACTTGCAGTGCACACGATTGGTAAGTCGCGTCACTCATACACAGGCACATTTTCATCGACCATTTCTTCTGTGTACAATATAACGCTTCCCTCCCCTTCATGACTGATTTGGTCCCTTCTCACCAAATTTCAGTTGTTGCTCCAGTTTCTTTTATTTCAAAGTCTTTCGTCGTTCGTAGTTACTTAATTCGAGCTAACTCTCTTCCTTCTATTACGTTTGAATGGAACATTTTGATCTTCTTTTACTATCTTTTACGGCGATTCTTCTGATGTTCGATAGTCTGCAATTATTTGATAGAACCCATAGGTGATATTAGGACGGTTTAATCTATACTAAGGGTAGTGACCAAGAGATTTCATCGATTTAGAAGAATTTTCGAAAAAGGTTTCTCCCTGTGAATCCACTACGTTTGAACAAATAAAATTTAAATGTGAATTTGTTCACATTTTTCATAAAACTGAAAATTCTGTATCGACTAAACGTGGCATTCATTTCATAGCCAAGTATCTATGCGATGAAATCTTAACAAGTAAAAAAATTGAATTCGGTCTTGACCGAATCTTTTATACCCATCATGGTAATTTTAAGAAGTAAGTTTCCCTACTCTAAAATATGGAATGGGTGCGTCCGACTTGTTTTATTTTCAGAGTAAAAGTGCAAATTTATATGGTGTGTGTGTGTGTGTTTTACTTTATGAGTAACAAGCAAAAAACACGGAAAGCAAAGGGTTCACAGTTTTCGTTGCATAAACGTGGAGGACGGTGTAGGCGTGTCCTTCGAGCGGTTTGAGTCATCTTTAAATTCTTTTGCAAATTTCTAAGTGATATTTTCATTCTTGCGAACGAGAGAATGTTTGCCACCGATACTACATAATTGGGCAGACGTTAAATGGACGGACGGATACGTTTAGGTGTAGTCCGAACTTGCAGCTGGTCCAGAATTTACATACTTTACGGATTTTTCGAAGATTGTTTCTGCGCCTTATTAAAGTATTGCAAAAAAATATTAAATTTAGGATAGGCTTGGCCCCATTTTTTTTCTTACAAGTGCTACATAGAATATATGTTCGAATTTTTGTCTCTGCTTTCCTTCTGGAACATACATCTCATCCTTGGCTGATGGATATATAATGATGATGACCTATAAAAGATCTTATTAAGTTGAGAATATAAATAAATAAAAATCTGATTAGCTTATGTACAATTAAACTGAGAGAAAGTATGGCAAAGACGCAGATACCTTCCCCGCCGTAATCATGTCGCTAATATATGCAATTAGGTCTGTCGCCAGGCATAGACAATCGTCGACACGAGGTTCGCATCCGTCCCGTGTAGTCGACGAAACCTCGCCCGCTACGTTTAAAATAAAAAATTTGCTCGTGAATAGCAATGCTGCAGGTGGATTCACTATCGGCTGTGGAGCAATCATATGTGAAAAGTGTATAAGTACTTTTTTTAGTTTTATTCATTCATCAAAGAAAGTAAGTTAAATGCGGAATTTTGTACTTTTAATAATAGTTCGAACTAGTTATTGGCCCAGCAGATTGAAAATCTTCGGCTTCAGTCTTCAACCACTCGGCGGGACATATAAAATGCTTGAATTATGATAAGTGAAGTTCGCCGAGAAGCTCGTTTAACGAAAAACCATACAAAAAATTAGCTTAGGTTCAGGGAGTGTTCCCATTAAAATTCCATATTAGCAAAGCGTTCAGCTAGACGTATGGGTGAAGTGATCGACCTGAAGCGATTTAGCGATTCCTATAGAGATTTGTTCACATTTTTTATACCGACTAAGGTGAAAGTCTTCTACAATGTCGACTAAGGAACCGTTCGGTAATTTCGTACCGCTTTATCGCTGGACCAGACTACATGCTCCTCAGGAATTGATGAATTTGATGGGGGTTTTCGCTGTGTGAGGTGATCATTGTGTCTTCTATTTTCCTTAAAAAAAAACTCATAATGTTTAGTAATAATTTATTTAATTTATTTTATTTACAATTTGTTTAAATTTTAAATATTTAATAAATTCTTTATGTATATGTTTTTTTGCATTTATATACATTGGCCTTGAATTTTTTAGATTTTTCTTTCTTACCAATCTTCTTATCCATCCTCTTCGCCGTCCAGAACGCTATCGCCATCCATTGAGTCATTGCATACTGATAATTCAGATTCTGAATCTTGACGGCTTTCCGACAAAGTCCTTATATCATCGCCCGGTTTTATTTCATCAGAATCCTCGCAATTGGCACTCAAAGCTGTCGATGATGTGTTTACGGTTTCCAAGCCATTGTTGCTATTATTCGCATTGCTTGTCAGCTGGGTTTGCCTTAAGAGGGCTAAGCGTTGTTGCGTCAATTCCAGATGATGTTTACGCCATTTGATGCGCCGATTTTGGAACCAAACTTTGACTTGGGCCTCCGTCAATTGTAGGGTATGAGCTAAATATAAACGTTCGGGTCCCACCATATACTGTTGTCGTTCAAATTCGGCTTCCAAACGTTCCAGTTGCTCCGGTGTAAATATAGTGCGTACACGTTTGTTTTTTATCGATGATTTTTTACCTGAACCTTTTGCGATATGGCATAGAAATAAAGAGAAAAAGAGAGAGAGAGAGAGAGAGAGAGAGAGTAAAAAGTTTGGTTAAGCGGCTTTTATGGTATACTTTTTACCTGTTTTCAGTTTTTCACGTTGAAAATTTAAGCTCGCTTGATGAGCGTGATGTTGATGCAATTGCTGAAGACTTTGTAGAGCAGATGGTGCACCCGTAACATTGGCAGCAGCAGCCGCAGCCACTGCTGCCGCCGCCACAAAGCTATTAGTGCAAGCATGTTGTTGATGGGCCATAGCGGCCACCGCCGCAGATGCCGACGTCGGTGCAGTTGTACTCACGGACGTTGGCAAATAACGATTCATTAGCATTGCTGCTCCACTACTATCACAATTAAAACTATTCCCGGTTACCGTAAAACTATTACAAATATTCGACTTGCTGCCATTATTTAAGTTGATAGTGTCCCTACTGTTGTTGTTGTTGTTGTTGTTGTTGCTGCTATTATTATTATTATGAATATCCTGTTGATAATGTTCGTCGTCGTTATTGTTGCTAAGTTGATTGGGTGAATTGTGCCGACTGCCGCTGGTATTGCTGTTGCCACCGTTGGTACCATTACTGCCACCGTTTAATGAAAGATTAATGACGTTGTTATAGTCCTTGTGTACGTGTGTGCCATGCTCCATGGCACTCTTTTGTAAGCCTAAAATGGCGGCTATTGTAAACGATTTACCCACGTCAAGTGAAGTACTCGCGGCCGCTTCAATAAATTCTTGCGTATGTGCATGATGATGATGATGATGATGATGATGATGATGATGGGGATGGTAATGATTACGATGGGCATGTGTAGGTGAGTTTGCCAATTGTGTTGTACTTTGGTTCTTATTGTTAGTGTTGTTGTTAGTGTTGTTGTTGCTATTATTATTACTACTATTCGGAGAGTTGAGATGATTTGTTAATTGTTGATGATGTTGCTGTTGATTATGCGGATGCAATTGATTGTGATTGTGATTTGCTGCTAACAGAGCTGCCTGCTGTTGGTGTTGTTGTTGCTGCTGCTGCTGCTGCTGCTGCTGTTGCGGATGATTATGATTATGATGATGATGATGCTGCTGAAATGCCGGATGTTGACTATTCGCTGCCATTGTTGCAGCCGCCAAGGTATGTGCATGCAAATGATTATGCGTTGTTTGCGTGTTATGCAAAGCCAGAAATTGTGACAAAGGACTCGCATGATATTTCTGTAGCATTCTTATTACGTTGGTCCCGGACTATAAATGAATATGCTGTCGACTCCTTCTCAATTTACTTGTAAATGAAAGAGAAGGTGTCTACTCTCTATCGTGTTGCGTTGTAAATGCTTTATGACCAGAAGAATATTAAGTTCGTTGTTGGCACTTTGGTGTCAATTTTACATATGAGACCCGAAGCAAAATTTCTCTATGTGCTAAGTATGACAATCTTGCGGTAATAGTTTTAAGTTTTATTATCTTCATACACACACCGTACGGCTGGCCGGTCATTGGTCTCTCTATTCACTATGAAAACGTACCTGGAAAGTGTTTAACGTTTAATAGTAAAAATTTTTTTTTTTTTTTTTTTTTTTAAGTCTTTGTATTTTCTATGTTTATGCATATATCCAATGTAGTTATTTGATATCTGCATTTGTTATGTTTAGGACAATTAAGTTAAAATCTAAGCGAAGCGCAACATAATTGTTGTGGGGAAAACGTACAACAACATATGAACTGTCGTTCATTATTCACTATTTGAATTTTTTTAATTTTTTTTTTCTTAATCAAAAAAAAAAAAAAAAAAACTCAATTGCGAACTTTATTATTAAAGAATTAGTCAGAGGATGAGAATATAGTGAGTTCATCATGCTACTTGTAGCGTACCTTATTTACCTGTACGAGGGGTTATGATTTTCTATTTTTTTTTTTTTTTGATAAGAGCAGCTCGTCTTTACTTAGTCACAAAGCATCAAGCTTGATGGTTGAACGTAACATTATAGCGACAATAATCTAACAATTTTTCTGATCTATAAAGTGCAACTTAATCTTCCAAAATTTCATTTCATTTCGACCCTTTTAAATCGGCCCCTGGTACCCCTGGAGTTAGTACGGCTGTTGATGGGGGTATTGTAAGTTGATCTTGGACTTATGAAAATTGCAGATTGTGTGTGTGTGTGCCTGTGCCATATGTCCAGATGGGCTGAAGCACAAGTTTACGTACTAAAACTTTTCTTGCCAGTGAAACACCAAATCGATGATATTCTTTTTTTTTTCAACCCCTTTACACAGGGAATATTCCCCGTAGGTGCATAAATATGTTAATGATCGGAAAGTAGTGGGGAAAGAAGGGCAATGTATGGTGGTAGCTTGAGTGGTATACGCCCGATCTGATGCCTTTAATTACCATATACTAATTTTTATTAAACTTGGGGCTGCCGGGTGGAGAATTAATTCGGGCGTCCATCAATAGTGGCACTTTCAAAATTTTTTTTAGTTTCATTTTTTTAAATATAGCTAATCACAAAATGGATGTCTCCTATACGTATATCAGGTTGATGGTCAGGAGGAAGGGGAATAGACGGAGGCGAATAGCGTAATGGTCGCGTATGTGTTATGCTTTTACCAATCGAGCCATTACTATAGCTACCATCCACCACTCATAATTAAACAATGACTTATCATGGTGAGAATTGAACCCAGGTCTGCCAATTCGATAATAGGAAAATTCATCGAAGGACTTAAACACATTTCACATTTTCCTTTGCCTGCAGTAAAGGCCTTGAATTATTTACTGAATTTGCTGATATGGATGGAATAATGAAAACTAAACAGTTAAAATATCCTGTCGATTTCCGAAATATATAGTGTCAAAAAGTTAATAAGCCTTCCATGGCCATTTTCAAAGAAAAAGCTTTACTTTCTAAGCAAACTTGCTAGGGGACATGTAACAGGTTTGAAAAATTGGCGTTTAAGTCTCCAAGAATTATCCAAGTCGCTGATACTTTTAAAAATATTTATGGCATTCACTTAAAACCTCGGGGGTTAAGTACGGTGATTGTAACTACGACATAGCTTGGCCGCCAAAAAGGTACTGCTTGAAGATGGAGCACATCTGTGTTTTCGCCAAATTTTAAAGCCAGGAAAATATTTAAAGCAGACATCACACAGACTGACGGACACGCAGACGGACAGGCGGACATGCTCAAATCGATTGATCAAGAATGTATAGTTTGTGGAAACTCTGATGCTTCCTTCTGGGCGTTGCAGGCGTTTTGACATAATAAATATACCCCTACCTTCTTCGGTGAAGGGCGGGGGAAATAAATAAGGAATAACAATACGAAATTGTTGTAAAATCCGATTAGTCGCAATTGGTAAGGAGATGAACGATAACCATTTTAATCAAGGTTTGGGATTAATAATGACTTGACGTTGAACCGAGTTTAAGTGATGTCAATGAATATTTTGTAAGTGATAACACTCGGTTCATACATAGTTTGAAGCAATTTGACTTAAGCTACAATTTTTGTGAACATTTGTATTTACCTCATTTGAGCTTTTGTTTAGGGAATTGCAAGTAAATACCTTTCTTCAAATTGAACAGTAGGCATAGGGAGCGCTGAAGATGCTAACTGTTGAACAACCTTCGGCTTTCATCGGAAATCGATTGTAGGAAAATTATATTGAAAAAGATTAGTGGCGATCGTACTCTATTTGCACATAGTGATATGCTTAAGACCTTGGTCGCTTGGGTAGCTGAGTAGGTAAGAGTCGCGACTACCAAGATAGTCTTCGCGGGTTTAAATCTTAAGTGCGATGGAGCTTCTTTTGCTTATAGCTATAGCGAGTGTTCAGTGTTTGAAGGCACGCAACCATTCGAACCCTGGCCCATCCTCCCTCCCTCACTCCACTCTCTACCTTTTCCTCTAACTTCTTTCTCTCTTTCCCTCATTGTGTCACACGAATAGGTCACATTCCCTAACTAATTGGCGAATTAAAAAAACAAAAATGAATCAAAAATAAATCCGGGAAGCTTTTATTCATTTTTGGATCAAAGAAAATGCGATAAAGAAAAACCGTTTAATCTCCGCGCAATCTCCACTCTCTCCACGAAGGAGATGACAAATTAAATACGATTTTAAAAGATTAAGTTAAAATTTCCCTCAATCCTTAGTTAGGTTATTAACGTTACATAATTTCGTTTCAGCGTCCTTAAGATTTTATAGTTAATTTTTGATGCAACATTTTTAAAGCATCTTAATAGAGTGAAATTCTTTGAAATAATTTCTTAACAATATTAACTTGATTTACTTAATTCCATAATCATTTTCTACGCATTCATATTTGAATGTATGTGCAAAGCATAGTATAATTAACTAATTTGCATGTAAATATGTGTATGTGCTGTGACAAATTGTAATTGAATTATAGCACCTACGGACCAAACTATAAACATAAACTATAACAGTTATGAAGATAATCTCAAGCAGCACTCAAGATATGCACTCTTACCATCTAACTAACTAACTTGAACACAAAAGGTGTAAGTATGATGAGCTGCATGCAACATCTCGTGCGTGTATGTGTGCATGAATTTTAATGAATCTTTGTGGTGATCTCTCCTAAGGACATTCATATCAAATCAACAATTAAACCGTAGTAACGATTGCGGTCTTAACTCCCAAGTTGTTTAAACGTTTAGTAATGCATGCCAACGTCTATGCGTTATAATTACATAGAATGGATATATACATATATATATGTTTATATGGCTATGCATTAGATTGCAAATGCATTTAGTTGAACCATAAACTGAAAGGAGGTTTTGTGAGAAACATATGAATATTTTAACGAGTTAGGAGGAGAATACCGATATAAATATGCCGGACCTTTTCAACGATAAGTGTTAGTTTATTAGAGATTCGCAAGAGTTTAGCAAAACAATAAAAATAATTACAGTCTAGTAAATGGTAAGATTTAACAAATGAATTGACAATTGACAACAACAAGAAACAACAAATTGCTCAACAACTTTATCAAACTTAAGATTATTTGGAAGACATTTTACATTTCACACTTCATTCCATTACTAAAGAGGGCGTTTCCTCTACTACCCGTCGCTTAGCCTTCAATGGGTATGATATGTGCCTTCAATTTCAATGCAAATCTTGACTTTAAACAAGCAAAAGAATGTAGTCAGTCAAGGCCGTCCACTACATTGTCTAAGACAATTCTTATTATACTCATGACTGAAGGATGCAAGGGATGACAAGGATTTCAAAACGTTTGCAACGCCCCAAAGTGAGCATCAAAGACCCCACCAAGCATATGTATTTTTGATCAGCATCAAATCCTAAATCGATATAAGCATGTCCGTCCGTCCCGTTGTAATGTTTGTTTTAAACATTCTCCTGGCCGTAAAAACGAAGGCATCGACTTCAAATTTGGGAAAAGTAGTCCCCTTTCAGCTAAGGCAAGTGCTAATGAACCCCGATTGATATCAGAAAATGCAGCATAAAATAAACTGTAGTGTTATAATCGAATCTTGATCATGAAATTCTGAATCGATTTAAACATGTCTGCCTGACAGCCTGTCCAGTTGTCCGTCGGTCCGTCTGTATAATGTTTTTTGTAAACATTCTCCTGGCCGCACATTTGAAGCTGTCGACTTCAAATGTCGCAGAATCGTTGAAAGTTCTTGCACGCAGGCTACTATTGAAAATGGACGAAATCGGTGGAAGGGCATGCCCACAGCACCACGTAACCTGAGAATACCTCTGTTTTGCAAAGGGAATGAAAAATTGGTTTCTTGCTCATTACTCATAAACTATAGCAAATAAATGTACAAATATCTAAATGTATATTTTGTGGACGATGTTGTAGCATTTGTGCACAGAAATGGAAAAAATTGGCCACCCCTACCCAATATTATGGTATATCGAAATGCGCAGAAGCAAACTTCAAGAACCCCATAAAGTATACAAATTCTTGGTCAATTTCAAATCTTGAATGCACCTATATATGTCTGCCAGTTCGTCTGCCCATCTGTCTGTTTTCTTAGCGTTGTAGTGTTGGTAGTAAATATTCTTCCGTTAGCGAAAATGAAAACATCGCCTATAAATTTGCAAAAGAATTTTGTATTGACCTAAACTTTTGAAAAGGCACGCCTACAAAGCCCACAAGCCTCTACGACAAAAACTATTATTTCGATAATATAAGGAACCAACTACGCCCAC